GGCGGCGGCCCTGGCCGCGCAGCCGGGCCGATAAAGCTCAGCATTTGCATTGCACTGCGGTATCCGCCGGACTGGAGCTGCAGCGGGCGCCGGATTATTTATTGCGGGGCCGCGGGTGCTCAGTGCTGCCACGGCGTGGCGGGACGGCGGAGGCGGGCGCGGAGCGGAGCGGCCTCCGCAGCCCCTGGGAAGGGCAGCGCTGGGAGGGAGCCTATGTTGCTCGGGGGGAAAGCCAAATAAAAGATACACACACCCCCTACCCCCCTTCGGAAAAAAAAAATCAACAAAAACAATAAAAATCTGGCCTACCTTTTTCTACGGGAGCATCGGAGCTCGCCTCCGGGCAAGATATTCCGGCAGGACCGGCTCTGCCCCCTCCCCTTCCACCTCGGTGTGTGTCAACTGTAAAATATCACAGTGGGAGCTGGATGGGGAGGACCCGTCCGCGTCCCCCCGGCCAGGCTCCCGATACCCTGCCATTCTCAACAACGGGTCGCCTTGCCCGAACTGTTTGGATTAAGAGCTATTAGCTAAAGGTTGGTTTTGGTGACGCTGCCGAGCATGAGAAGGATTTGTAAGTGGTTTTCGATACGAGGAGAAGGAGGCTTTTAAGCTTAAGAGGGTAACTGCCCCCGCACCTGTGTCCGAGGGCGGCTGGGGCTGCTGGCCGGGTTTTCCGCGGGAGGAGGAAGGCAAAGTGTTTGCTGGAGGAGGTGCTGGGGGTGCGGCGAATTCCGAAAACAAATAAAAGGCGGATGAAATACACGGGTATCGCAAAGTGTGACTTTGTTGCGGTGGCAAAATGGAGCGGCTGGCTTTCTGCTTTACAGAGGGGGGGAAATGGTGAAGGGAAACTGCTGAGAAATGTGTGTCCGGGCCGGGCATTTCCCCGGCAGAGCTGGGGGGTAACAGATTATTGTAATTCGGGGTTTTCTGGGGTAGGGGGAGGAGCGGAGAGGATGCCTGAATGTGACTGAAGCGGAGATTGCAGTGCAGATTGTTTAGCTGTCACTGTAACTACTCTAACACGACCCAGCCGGGCAAACGTGCACGTTTCATTTCTTTTAATATTATGGGATCAACGAAGAAACGTTTCCTTTGCCTGTGGTTGGGCTTTCGACAGTTTGGTTTGAACGCAAACAATAACTTTAACAAGAGGAAAGAAGGAAAAAGAGAGGTGAAAAAAAAAACCAACAGGCTGTAAACATGTTATAAAATGTAAATATAACTAAGCCTGGCGCGATTTTTAAATTCTGCTCTCTGTGTTGATGGATTCAAACAAAAGACCGTCTGGCCACAACTTTTTAAAGTGAGGCTGGTGGGTTTCTCTTGCCCCGAGTATTCATTTTCAGCGGTGCGTTTTCGTTCTTACCTATGTTGGCAAAAATCTGCTTTTTTTAAAAAAACCTTGGTATTTAGCCTGCTGTGTGCTTGTTTGTTCGTGTTGCTTCCTTTTTAAACTCTATTCTCACTGAGTAAAAAACTTTTTCTGCGAAAGGCTGGTTTTCAGGAAATACACGTTTCTGAAATGACCTCTCAACGCATTGCAGCTAGTGAGCTGTGATTCTACCAGGTGTGTTTATGGATTAGCCGGGCTGAAGAGGTTAAGGAAGTGGGGAGAGAAAGAAAAAAAAAAAAAAAAAAAAAAAAAAAAAAAAAAAAGAAGAGATAAAATTGGAGGCAATCAACATCTGAATGTGAAAGTCCAGCTGAGACTGTGAACAATACAAACTATTGTGGAGCGATGTTTTAACTCACTACTGTTTTATAGGTATCGTAATCTGGCCCCGGAAATGAGACAAATAGTCTCCCAACAACAACAAAACTCCTTTGAAAGCTACTTTAGGAAGCGGGGCTCGTACGAATGTCACTTTCCGTCAGAGCGCGTTTAAAATTAGGCTATTCAATCTGTTGTAATGGGCGCGGATTATGAGTAAACACAGCTTGGAATGAACAACCTCATGTTATCTCCAGGAACTGCAGGGTTACGGCTGCAATAAAAGTGCCTCAGCGAATTTCATCAGCACTGTTACTGTCCCTGCCCTGGGCCAAGAATTATATTTCCGCTATGGGGTAACTGCCATGTTGAAAAATGAAGGTGGAAATGTTTGTTTCATGTATTAGTGTTCTTTCCCTCTTAAAGACACACATCCGCGTTTAATCGAATTATTCGGAGCAACCACGAAACCGATTGGCTTCTGCTGACTCATTAGAGGGGTTGTATTAATTAGGAATAGTCCTACTGGCTCCTTGTTGAATATGAATGTTTGATTCCCTTAGCTCGGCTCTGACGGAGGGAACTCGGGAAGAAGGGACACGTGGAACTTTATCTGGGCTGCTCAGGGGACGCCGGCAGCCCACCCAGCCCTTCCCGAGGCCTTCTCGGGCATTTGGTGCAAACCAAAAATTTCCCTCCCTAGAAGGCCGCTGTTTCCTGCCCCAGCCACAACCTCCGCGTTAATTATGGGGGTGTTCATTAAGATACGAGACCTCTTCCGTGCAGGACGCGTTAGCCTCTCTCACAAAAGCTGGGTTCAGCGCTAAGGCGGGCTCTCCGAGCTCTGACGGGAAGCCTCAGCGGAGGGGTGATTTCGGGGGGGAAA